GCTGGGATCATCACAACAATTCATAGGACCAGAACCATTCTGTAGAGTTTCTGCTTGCCCTCTTAGAATGGAGTTCAAGAAATTTGAAAAAAAAAAAATAAAAGTGGAAACCAATTGGAACAACACTCTCATTGCTAGGCAGTTGAAACGGTGTATTAATCCGAGCATTTCAATGACGAGCATAATTCTTGAACTATCAAAAAAAGATCTCAGTATGTACACTGGTTTAATAACAGTACACTGTCCATGTAAATATCACTTGAAGCTTATAGGAAAACTTCAAGAGGACATGTGTCGATTATATGTGGCATAGAAAAAGAAGACTCTGAACACCTGCTATGCTCTTGTGCAGCAATCTTCAATAAGAGGCAGTGGCGTCCCGTAACCTCACTTTTTACATATTCACACTCGAATCGGAAACGTAAAAAATACACTTAATCTTCTAGTTTACTCGATATCTATCCATTTCTACACGGACGCTGTCTTGCTCGTGTAGAGCACATAAAGGATCTCGGAGTTACCTTGGACTGCAGACTCACTTTCAGAATCCACTACACTGACATCATCTCCAGAGCTAATCGACAATTGGGCTTTATTTTCAAAATTGCCGACGAGTTTCGTGACCCGCTATGTCTCAGGTCACTTTACTGCTCGCTTGTGCGATCCTTATTGGAGTCAAGTTCAGTTGTTTGGTGCCCTTTCCATGCTAGCTGGATCACTAGAATTGAATCCGTTCAACGCAAGTTTGTGAGATATGCTCTTCGTTTCCTCAACTGGCGTGACCCAACGAACTTGCCACCGTACGAGGAGCGTTGCCGTCTCCTGGGAATCGAGCCATTAGAGGTGAGACGGACGGTCGCTCAAGCTATGTTCGCTGGAAAGCTGCTTACAGGTGACATTGACTGCCCAACACTGCTGTCACAGCTAAATATGTATGCCCCTGAGAGGTCTCTTCGTCAACGCGACTTTCTGTTTTTGGAACCACGGAGCCGGAATTATACACAACACGAGCCAATTCGAGCAATCAGCCGGCAATTCAACAACTTTTTTTTATATGTTCGACTTCAATGTATCAGCTGACGTGTTTCGTCATCGGCTACTTGGCCTTTTCCGTACCGTTGACCGTAACTATTTAGTTTAAGTTTTATTCATTTAGACAGTATTTGTCAGTTGAATTTTTCAATAAACAATAAACAACAATTGCAAGCAATATTCTGATAATTGTTTATGTTTTGAGAGTGTGTGCACAGGTAGATTGAGGTTAAGGAAACGCCACTGATAAGAGGCGCATTTTTTCTGGATAAGGGGCTTACAGAACCCTTTGATATTTGGAATTCAGTTCCCAGCCAAGTACCTAGTGCAATTCATTCGAAATGTAATACCTGACTGGGAAAATGCTTTCGGTCAGTCTATGTCGGTCGCTTTATGAAATGGTGATACGACATGCTGATGAAGCAATATTAAAACGGGGAATATATCACAATAGATCTAAGTACTAGTCCCAGTTATCAAAATACCCAACACGTAAAAACAGCGGGCGAGCATCTCACAAAAACAAAGCAACATTTTTTCCATAAGGAACCACTTATGAAATTTCGAGTAAAAAGTATTTCTTACGGATATCATCATTTTCCGGCAGATTTTTTAGGTTTTCCACAGGAAAACATGAGGCAAATTTACTCTCATCGCTGAGTTCCTACACTTTTGGCGATTATGAGTGAACTAAATTGAAATTTTGGTCGTTCTCATTCGTGTTGGTCTTTATTTCCAACTTCGGTGAAGCGAACGAGTGAAAGAGCGCTGGACTTTGATAGTTTCGTCTCTCATGAAACACATCAACGGAGGTTTCATGGCGTGTATGACGGAAATCATTTCTGATGTGAAAATATTTGCAGATTACACGTAATCTGTTTAATTTATCTTCCAACTACATATTTATCTAAAAAAAAAAGTAACGAAAACGGGACATAACGCATATTAAACAAATTGAAAGAGCGGTGATCGAGTGTCGTTGAAAGGAATTGAAAGTCATAATGAGGCTTCGTTTAACTCGAAAATCGGCGTTACTTTCATTCAATGTGATCAGCAAAGCAACGATGAGAAAATCCACAGCCAGAGTTTCGTTCTAAGGGTGTTTCTTTGTCATTTTCGGTTCGTGCTGATAGTCTAGCTAGGCGTTATAGAAATCTAGAGTAACACTTGAAATGGGCCTTTGTCCAAAACGTAAACAAATCGGGTTTTGATATTCTTTAGCTCCCTTTGATAGCTACTTATCGTGTAGGAAAGTTCCGCAAAATCGAGAAAAATCATTAAAAATAACTCGATTTTCGAAACGGCCGATCAACGAAATTTTTGGATTCATTAACCATTCATTTATTTCATTTCATTTCATTGAAATGAAAGTGACGTAGAAGGGCCGATGATTGAAAAATTTCAAACCAATGCTATGCCCTGCTGCTTGAGGCAGGGTCGATGATTTGTTTTCAATTTATTTGACGGTCCGAAAAGGCTTAGCAAAGGGCGTACCATTTCTGATGACAAGCACAACGGTTTAACAAAAAGGGCCTATCCATTGAAAGATTCACAAAAAGGCGGAGTAATTTATGAAATTAAATTGTTATCGATTTTCATATATTTTTGAAAGCTTTTTCCATATTTTGGATGCTGCATACTGAGATACAGTTACTATTGTTATTGTGAACAATATAATTGCCTAAAATACTTCAAGTTACTTAAATATGAATTGCGGCGATAAAAATTCAAAGGGGGAGAGGTAGCTCATCGATTCTTCCGGTTCGCCTCCTAGCATCGTGCTATAAGGTACCAGGCGATAACCAGGGTAGTTGATCGATAGCTCGATGACGTCATTTCGTTGGCGTCTGCAATGGGAAATTCTCATAGCAGGCGTTGACGATGGGACGTTGTCGAGTTGTTGAATGGAGATAAGTTAAGCATTGGGTACAGGACCAAGTCTCCCCTGGGTGGTGCCAAAAGATGAGCGCAATAGAATCATCAAGTTGCCATAAGGCACGGAATGAGACTATTGCATGTCTGGGTAGTCACAGTCTTCCATTCGTTAGTCATTTCAGGTGGATTAGAACAGGTTTAGGTTTAGGGTGGACGTTGGCCAGATTTGGATTTTTCAGATGTAATCCTGGATAGGACCCTGTCATTGAACGTCGCGTGAAAGTGGAACTTAATGAAGGCCTAAGTACTTTTTCGTAGTTTTTAGTTTTCGGATTTGAAAGATCGTCGGTTACAGTGGCCTGCTTACTGAGCAGAAAAACGCGGTCCCAGGTATTTTGCGAAACTCGTTGTTGTCGTTGGTTCCGGGTTTGAAAAGATACACAAATTTGAGCAACGGTATTGTGTGATATGAGGGGCTCGGTGGCCTTAGAGCAACCGTTTTTGCTTACTGAGCAGAACATCATGAGTCTAATATCAGGCCCAACCACATTCAAGATTCGTCAATCGTTTTATTTGTTAATATGACTACATGGTAATAACAGCAACTCGGTGATTAAAAAGGTGCTCGTCTGCCTAGTGGCAAACGTTTTTGCTTACTGAGCAGAAGACCGTGGGTTTAGTCCCAAGCTCCTTCGCGTTATATGATCGTTAGGACATCAATTCAGCTTATCGTTTACCAAAACGAACCCAGCTGCGAACCCAACCCTCTTATCCAACATCCCAGTGATTCCTCGTGAAAGTGCAGAGGTGTTCTCGGCTTCCATCAAAGCGAGTGTCATGTCAACACAATCCTTCCCATTCCTTTCTTGACCTGTGTTCGGGCGCGGCCGGCGCTGGTATTGCCTAGTTTAAGATCACCAGTTTTTACACATTGAGGATGATTGCTAGTCCCAAGCATCGTCTATTGGTTCTCTGTGTAATTACAGCTGATCTGGCAGTAACAGAGTAGCAATCGAGGGCGGTCAATCAAGCTCAAGCTCAATTGCGGCGATAAAAATTTAAAATTCAGTTTCTGGTTTGTTTACGTTTTGGACATAGGCCCATTTCAAATGTTGCTCTAGAAATTATGCGTTGAACACGTTGTATGCCAGAAACAAAACTGAGGCAAATATACTTAAGAGTTTCATAAGGCTCGAGTTATGAATTTCACAAGCGTGACTTCTATGAATGATTTTCGTCTACCATCAGGTTGCACTTATACGCCTTTAAACATTTCACTTTCCCAAGCGTTGAAAGACGAGTGGTCAACACACGGGGCCTATAATCTCAACGTCCATGGTTCGTTTATAGTATGTTCAGGTTTATTATTTTTGTCAAATGAATGAAATTCATAACGATTCCTTGTGGCTTCGTACCTCCTTTTGCCTCCGTGTAGTCAACCGGTGGAAACTAACGATTTTAAATTGGCTCACTTCTTGACTAGCCTACTGGTCCCAAGCAAATCGATTAACGTACACCGTTCTAGTCGAAATTCTACTACTACACTATGTTTATTTTGATTCGCTATGAAAGTTTGACAGGTAAAATGAGGGGTTCGTGGATTTTCCTATGTTTCGAGGGGGGTGCATCGATTATCTTGGGACCGAAGATAGTACCAGAGCTGAGCCAAAAAGTTGAGCACGTTTCTTCGGGACCTTCTAGTCTAAGAGTTACCTCTATGGTAGTACCTCATGTGTTACGATAATCATTCATAAGTTGTGCTTATGAAATGCAAAACACATGCCTATAGAATTCATAAGTATATTATGAAACCAAAATTGTCTAGGTTCATCAGTCATGTCTTATAGAATTCTTATGATGTTTTCACTTCAGTGTATGATTTCTAGAAGAAATACTTTTGTAGAAAATTTATAAATGATTGCATTTCTCGTTATTCACAATAATTATTATTCGAAATTTTCCTATCAACCAACTATTGGTAGCGACAAGGCAAAGTGTAGTTTTCAGTCTTTTTCGACGTGATGAACGTATGAGATTTAGCAGCAATTGCTACCCCAGACGATTACAATGTCTCATTCTTCTTCCAATTACAGGAAGCGGCCACATTGCCCGTGACTGCAGTCTCTCACCTGACGACTCTTGCTGTTACAACTGCAACCAGAGCGGTCATCTGGCACGCAACTGCCCGGAGAAGAGCGACCGGGACATGAACGTGTCCTGTTACAATTGCAACAAGAGTGGTCACATCTCGAGGAATTGTCCCACCGGGGACAAGAGCTGCTACAGCTGTGGCAAAATCGGTCACTTGAGTCGCGACTGCACAGAGAACAAGGGCCGCGATTAGAAGTCGGGTTATGCGTCGTCGTGGTGCGTCAGCAGCAGCAGCAGCAACAGTATCACTGCAAACAACAATAATAACAACAACCACAACAACAACATTGTCGGCAGCAGCAACGTTTTGAATCACAGCAGCAGTTTGAACCACATCAATAATAATCATAATAATAACAATAACAACGGTACGGCGGTGGCCGGCTACTATCGCTTGCCTCCGCCGCTACCACCTTCGCAGCAATCTGCCGCACAAGCGGAACAACAGAAGCAGCAACAGCACCTATTCGGTGGTCTGAATCCGTTCCAGAACCATCTTCACCACACCCAACAGCAACATTCAGCCGGTCATCATCATCATCATCAGTTTACTACTACTACTACTTCTACCTATTCCGCCGAGAATGCGCTGAAATCGACGCCGCAACAGCAACATCAGCAACAAAATGCTGCCTATCTGCTGCAGCAACAACAACAGCAACAGCAGCAGCATCACAAGAACTACTACAATAGCGCCTCATCTCCGATAGGGGCCCATCTGGGGCATTACGCCTCTGTTGCCGCTGCCGTTGCCAGTACTCCGATTCCCGTTGGTGGGGCTAATCCTGGACCTCCCGGACCAGGTGGCATGGGTGGTGGTGGAGGAACTGCTACTACTGCTGCTGCCGCCGTCGCCGCCGCTGCTGCTGCCACCCTTCACGCAAGCAAACCACGATTCAAGTTATAATATACACTTTGATAAAATGATTATAAATAATAATGAACGAATGATACACACAGATACAAGAAGTTTGATGAAATCAAAAAAAAAATACAAGGAAGCAAGAAGTAAATTAACTTTCACACAGAAAAAAAAACATGAAAATCTAAACACACTCACACACGTAAACATTTATACACTCACACGTCTGAAGAGAGAAGGAGGAAACGGATATTTATGCGCCATTTATTGTTTTTCCCTTTTTTTTTCGTGTTAAAGCAAAAACAAACCTCAGCAAAATTATCTTAATTTCTTTTCTAATGGAAGGAGTAAATAAAGGCCAAGAGAGAGCAGAACCCCATTGAAAGGTTAACCCGTTTTTCCGTTTTTTTTTTTTTTTTTATTATTTTCCTATTACAGTTAAGGCATGATGGTGGTAGTAAACAGTGTTCTGATTGTGACATCGGAAAATGATTAGTTTTTTTTTCTTCTGTCGAAACTTAATATGACTCCCTATCTCTTATTATATGATAACAATGCTTGTGTTTTTGATAAAGGTCGTAGATTTAGGATATACGTTTTTGTTTTTGCCGTGTCAGCAAGATAATCGAACCAGTAGGTACATTACTTGCATTTCACTACTTTTTAGTAAGTCAGAGTAGTAGCTACTACACGATGGAGAAGGAGGTTGCGATTCGAAATGCGGAACGAGAGTTTTGAGAGCCGTTGGGTCAAACTGTGGTTTGTTGTAACTTTGCTAATTGGATAACAAATAACAGAACAGGGTAAGAGGTGTCAATTGAGGCTGAATCTATCTGGGTTCTATTTTCAGGTGCATGATTGTGGAAAACAGGAGATAATGAAATGGATGCAACAGCGGCTTACGTAACTATTAATTATTGGTCGATTTGGTAATCGTTGTTAGAAAATTTTGATTTACTAATTCGATTTTGGTGTCTGTCAGGAAAGTTTGCTTCCATGAACGACACAGACTCCGTGCATTTGAAAGAGAGAGAGAGAGGTATGTACTTGAAATAGATGTTTCTGTTAGTAAAAACCACCAAGTGTCTGTCACTACTCCCATATAACATGGGTCTCAACTCCAATGATTTTTCGATTCATAAAAGTGTAACGGAACACGTTTCGCGATCTTTCTGAGTGTGGAAATTAAAATGATACAGCAGCATTGTTATGCCACTAACATAAGAGCGGAGGAAATTCAGAATAAGGAAGGTATGCTTTCAAACTTGCTTCTACGACGCTGCCCGGAGTGTCTCCCCCTTATTCTGCGCCGCGAGTGAGGTGAGCTGACTCCCCATGCAAATCAAATGGAGAGTCACCTCACTCGCGGTTCAGAATAAGGGGGATTAAGGCGCCAACTCTGAAATTCATTTTCAATAAATCAAGCGAACTAACCAAGGCAATTGGTTTCAACTAAACACATACCACAGTCGCTTAACGTTGGCTTTCGATGTTGAAGCAGATAGCCGTCGAAATGCCGATCGAATGACCTATTTGACCAAACGGCTTTCAACTCAACCGCTCAACAACTTAAAACCCGTTTACTATTGCGCTTCAAAGAGGGGGATTATTTATTGTATCGAAACACACACACACTAACTTCGGTCAATTCAGTCGCGCATTGTTACACTGATAATCGCTAGTTTAGAAACTTGAATTTACACTTTTTTCGTAGAAAAAAGTAAAGACTAATAAAAAAGGAAATCGATGCCCTCTAAGGGTGCGCTAAATGATGACCAACAAGAATGAGAAAAACTACATCCGACAAGCCCTCTAGGTCCTTAGTTTTAGACTCGCTAGCCCGTTTTGTTTGATTTGCCTTTAAAATAAAATTCCCCAAACTACACACATAAAAAACACATTACACGAAACTTAATAAACAACGCTGAGTTCAATATAGAAAAGAAAATTAACGTTTACAAATTGGAATGGGAAACATTTAAGAAAATTACAAAAAATCATAGATCTTTGCGTACTAGTATAAAACAAACAAAACAATATTTACTAAATACAATTGATTGAAAAAAAAAACTATGACTCTAATAAACAAAATCTATAAACACTGAAAAAAAAGTAAGAAAACAGATTTTAGTGTCGATAAACGTCTATATAATAAAGAAAAAAATGTAATCGTACAAAACGAAGAAAATTAAGCAGATGAAAAACCAAGCTAAGCAAAGCAAAAGAAGCAGGAGGAATGAAGGATAACGGAACAAACTGGGAGATCTCACCAAGTTCAGCAGGCCCAACAGAAGAAGAAGAACAGGAAGAGATGAGCGCAGCGCAGGAGAACCGAAGGCAAGCAAGCGGGAGGAGGAGCAAGAGAATAGGTACACAACACGATTCAAGCTATGTTATTCTTTTTTAATCTGTGATAACAGCCAAATCTTGAAGCAGAGATAAAGAGAAAGAAAGAAGAAAATCATCATAAAGCGTATAAAAGGAAGCAGGAGAACATAAACTAGTAAGCGGACACAACGTTCTTTTGTTCTTCCTAAAACTAGGGATTCTGTGCAACCCCCAGCCAACCACGGAAGAAGGTTGTTTTTCGGCGCAGCAGAACCTAGAACGACTTTTTAGGAATACAAAACAAGTTACAAATTAAAAACAGAGCAAACAAAAACAAAAGGGGAAACTAACTTTCGAAGATTGGTTCGGTGGAAGCCGTTTCCTTAGCCGTCCTCGCATTTACAAACAAAAAATAAGGGTTTCTCTACGCTTGCGGGTTTGGGTCGTTTCATCGAAAGTGAGGAAAGAATTTCCGATGAAATGACCATTCTCGCTGAGCGTTGTTGAGAGAAACCCTTGAGCATGTCGTGGAAGCCTGAAACAATATGAAGCAACTATTACACGTGTTATCGTTTTATGATAACGTTGTCACTTTGTTTATCTCATTTTGTTCACTTTTTATACACACTAACAATACAGAAGAAAAGAAGCAAAGAGACCAGAGGAGAGAAAATTTAATGCTACTTACAGTAATTTTTAACTGAAGCGAACCCCCGTGGCGAAAGGAGAGCAAATTACAGCAACAACAAAAAAAATGCAAAGAGTACCTTTAACAAAAAAAAAACGATTAATTTAAAAGAAGCAAGTAAGCAAAAGAGGAAAGATATTTTTACAAATTACACATTTTCCGTGTGACCAAAAAGAAGTCGTAAATGTAAACGCGAGAAATCAGAAGAAGTCTACCGAGTTGAAGTCAGTGCGGCGCTACGAAGCGTACAATTCTAATATTCCTAAGTGCTCAAAGTGAAACGAAAGTGGCGAAAGCGATGAAGAAGAATACGTTCTGAAGGTACTTACCGAAAAAAAAATAAAAACCGACGCAAATCAGCGAAAGCGAATGAGAAGGTAACCTTCTCACATCTCAGGAACCGAAGTTCCCTTTTTATGGCGATTTCTAAAATTAGGCCAATTAGGGAATGGAGGCACGACGAGAGAGGAGATAGCAACAAAAAATCGTAATATGAGCTGTAACACTCACACACGTACACACACATACAAACAAACATCCATACCGACACACTCACACCACCCAACAACACTAGCAAACAGATAGGCGAAACAAAACAATAAAGTTCTTTTATTGCTGATTATCGAACCGAGAGATGGAGAGCTGCTGGCAGGAGAGTTAAAAAAGAAAACACAGAAAATCGTAACCGGAACATCAACCCCAAAAAAAAAACACTACAGTAGAAACAGAAAATAAAGAAAAACAAAAAACTAGCAACAACCCCCCCTGTATTGTAAAACTGCGAAGAAAGGAAGACGGGAAGAAATACGTCGAAGAACACAGAAGAAGAGACGTGGAAGAAGCAAAACAAAACAAAGCGGATGAAGGGAAGAAGGTGACGAAGACCACACAGAAGGAAGACGGAGAAAACTGCGATTGAAACAAAAAAAAAAAGTTGAAAATCTTAAAGATTACACACAAGAAGAAAAAAAAATGTACTATTATTATTATTACTCTGAATATTACACAAAACTAAACAGAAAATGAAGAAAATTATTGATGATGGTAAATTGCAGATAAGATGAGAAAAAAAACCTACAAAATGCAAACTTTTTATAAGTAAAAAGAATTGTGAACAAAAAAAATATAAAAGGAGAAAAACAATAGGGTTTTATTTCTGCCACCTGCTACAGTTGAAGAAGTCGGATGAGAATGGGACCTGGGGAGGATTAACAGAAGCACGCACTCAGAAATCACATAGCTGCAAATCCCATCACAAAATCACATGAACATTAGGGGGTCGATGAAATTCAGATGAAAAATCATATAAAATTAAACTGATCGCATCAATGTTATGTGAAATTCAGATGAATTCCATTAATTTTCATTTTGGATGAAAACTGACATCTGCAATGTATATCCTAGCCACGAACACGCATACAAAATGTATGAGTTGGTTCG